ATCTGAAAACGATTTTGTTGGGCCTTCAAAATTATTATATACTGTGAGCGATTTTAGTTGGTGAGCCTGAAAAGAGGGAAGGAGGAGAAGAAGTTAATGGGAAGAGAGCAGTGGGTGTGAGCCAAGAAATGAATTATACGATTATAAAAATAAACCTAGAAGTCTGCATATCATTATCCTGACAGAAATCCTAACGATGTTCAAATTGATTGTTAGAAGATCAATTTTGAGATCATTTTTGCAGTATATTATCATCATTATTTAAGCGTTCTACAAAATAATTTTGATGGGCCAACAAAATTATTTTCAGATTTGTATCTGTATCAAATTTTTAGATTTGCCAGCAAAAGTGTTCTCTCCGTGCATATTTATTAATAAATCACTTTTAAAGAATTTTTCGATAATTTTCTTTCAGGCATTTCATGCATATTAGATGTGTCAATAATATAAATTATTGCATAATAATATCCATCGTATACTGATTTGTTTACGACTTTCGTAAACAACCCAGTAATTTTATGTAAGCGTGACGTATATATAAAGGCCAGTGATGGAAGAAGAATAAAAGAGAACGAAGTGGTCCAGTGGAGAGCTGACGCTGGCTCGCGTATCACACCGGTTCACATCGCTTTTGTGCCATGTTTGTTACATAAGAAGAAGATTGTACACACGGCGGACATTTTAAACTCTCTTTCTCTCTCATTTTTTTCTCTCTCAGATTGTTATACGCGCGAGAAAGTTAAGATCCATTTACACGGGTCAAGGGTCAAGGATATGATGTGGCTCTCACTCTCTCGCCCCGACAGCTTCAGCTTACGTTACGTCGTTACGGAAAACAATACAAACAGATATTCCGAGATACCCCGCGTCTCGTAACTCTTCCGGTTATACGACGACGCGGCGGTGGGAGCGCGTCAACGCTGAACCAACAAACCGATAAAGTCTCAATGTATCGTGGCCACGTGAAGTCCACGTCGCATGGCATATAACCGCCTAGAAAGTAAATTTCATCCGGCTGTAGTCATTATGCCGGGAGAGGTTTGACGCGCGCGGGGCCATGGTCAAAGGTTCCTCGTATCTTCGTGCACGCCCGGCGACTTTTTTCCTCGCTGAGCGTGGCTGCCCCCGCTCGTTCCAATCAAAGACACGTCAAGGATCTTAACAAAGGGTAAGCATAATTCACCGCGCATATTGGTAGCCTGATCTCCGGCTGGTCGAGCTCG